GGTTTTTCGTACTTCTTGGTCAGTGCTGCCATGAGATCCACCATAATTTTCTCATTCACATTGTTGAACGCAACAGATGAGGAAAGTGATAACTTGATCAAACCCATTGTCCTTCGATCCAACACTTCCTATTCCTCCATAGGTATGGACTCAGTCCTCCTTGTAATTCATTGTAGTGACAACCATAAATTTTTTGATATAACAAATCCTCCACCCGCATCTTTCAGAAAGCGAGTCCATCCCGTTGAACTTTTCCACATTGAACTTTGCTTGTTCGGCCATTGCTCCCAGTCGAATCGAACCTCGCTCTGATACTAGTTTGTTGGGAGACACTACTCTGAAGGAATCTCCTTCCAGTTTCACCGCCTAATAGGATCACATGATTTGAGAAACCCGTAACAATAAATTTGAGCACAGAAATAAAATCAAAACGACTAGAAAAGTACACAAGAATTTACATGGAAAAATTTGAGAACGGGAAAAAAATCCCAGAGCCATACCACCACAAATTCATTATGAAAAACATTGTTTTACAAATGACTCACACAAGTTCCTTCTCTACACTCACAAAAAGAAACTTACAGGACGCTCTAGAATCTTCCTTCTTCGATCCGACACAAACAACACGCTCCAGGATCCCAGAAATTCTCCTCTCCAACTCTTCACTCATCAGAAACTTGATGAAGAACACCTGAGGATGTCTAAAAGATATTTCGCTCAAAATTGGCTGAAAATAAGAAATTTTGTGTACCAACTGCTCCGGGTGTGAAAGGGTCCTTCTCTCAGGAAGCACAATCGTGCCCAACATAGTTGGGTGCTTGGGCGTCCAGCGGGGCGCAAAGGCGATCCCATTTCTGTCGAGCGCCTAAACATGGGTGCAAAGGCGCCCGTTTCAGAAGCAACGCCCAAGCCGATGCTCAGGCGTCGAGTTCTCGGTCTTCTTTGGGTGCTTTGGCTCCACAAGATTAACAGTAGTAGTCTAGAGTTTAGGCATTTTAGTGGTTTGTACGCTGATCAGGACATAGATGGTTTGATTAATCACTGTGCACATTTTTTATAGTCATTTTGAAATAATTTTCAAGTTAGTATTTGCAATGTTCTTGTACCTATGATTAAGCATTTAATACGTTGGTCGAAGCACGTGTGGGCTAATTCGTTAATGCACACTTTTCTTGAGAGCTTTTCATTTTAAAATAATTTTTATGCCTGCTTACGCAACATTCTTTGACCTTATGATTAAGCCTTTAATATTTTGGTTGGAGCATATGTGGCATTATGGACTTGGCTTATTTGAATTGATTTTAGAGAAAATTGCACGTCTTTCGAGATAACTTGCATGATTTTTGAGAAATAAAATTTGAATGAAAGATTGTTTCATAAAGCATATGTAGAATTTAAAGAAATACAAATTTGTATAGGCACTCTAATGCATGCAATGTCTCACTTTGAACCTTCAAATATCGCGTTATGTTCATTTGTAGCTATGTTGTCAATCCCGTGGTGATGTATGCAAATTGGAAATTAACTTGCACTTTTAAACTAGATTTCATTTTAGAGTACTAGGCTGGATGTCATTCCTAATATTTGGCTTTACTTGAGGGTGAGGTTTGTTTTCATATGACTTATTTGAGTGGCTTGCATAAACCATCTTTTTGTCCAAAAATGGAAAGAGCAGTTCAGTTTTTTTCATTCAAATATTTCGTGCGTCCTAAGGACTTTGAGTGTAAGGGTGTCCTGCTTGTCCTTTGCAAGTGAAATTTTCAGTCCTTCATAAGTTCACCTTGCTATTAAATTTTGCATTTTCATTAATTAATTTTATGCTTTTTCAAGTTTGTCAAAGTCCCAATTAAATTTTATTTAGGTTCTGTTCAAGCACAAGGTCTTACCACCATGCTTAATCATGCGTACTTGGTTGGTTTGTGAGACGCCATAACATGGGTTTCTTCAACCCACCAATGGTAGGTTTTTAATACCTAAAAAAAAAATAAAAAAAATAAAGATTTCCTTATCACATTGGAATAACAAGCGCGAGTACTTAATTTTAAGAATTTTTGCCCACCATATTGAAACAACATACATGATTCTTTTGTTCATGCAAGTTTTCCCTGCCGCGTTGGAACAACAGGAGAATTTTACGTGTCTCTACATTATACGTTGCACACGAGGCAATGACTTAGATGAGGCAATACGATGAATTGCATGAATATTGAGACAACAATTTCTTTTCTTTCTTTTTTCATTGTTCTTTTTTTTTTTTTTGAATTTTTTGTTAGAGAAAGAAATAGGTGCAAAGAGATAGAGGGACAGAATAAATGACTCTTTCTAGAGAAAGAAAGGGGGAATGAGGGAGTTTGGTGGCTGAAAATAAAGGAGAAAAGGTGGTAGGCTGCTGTTTGGTGAGGAGTCGGTGCTGTGGTGGAAGAGTGAGCCAGGTGAAGTGTGGAGGAGCTACGTGGGTTGTACAAGGCTTGTGCGGTTGTGTCATGGGAACATAGAGCAGTGGGACTCTTCGCTTTGCATGAATGGGAGAGACGAAGGGACTTGGTTGAGGACTTGCAGTATGGTGTGAGAGCAGGGAGGTTCACCTACTTGTGGTTTTTGCACAATGCATGGAGGGGTGATCAAAGGATGTTTGGTTTTGTGCGGTTCAAGCAAAGATGAGGACGGGCTCAGGAATAGGTGAGGTCTGGCTGGGATGTCGGAATGAGGCTGGGCTAGATCTGTTGGCTGGTTTGCACCTGTGAGACAGAGGGTAAGGGATGTTGAGCGTAGTAGCATAAGTAGAGGTGAGAATGTTGAGGGGAGTTGTGCAAGATTGAGCAGGGGAGAGACGGTAGTAACCGAGTAGTTTAGTCTTAGTAGATGGGTCAGCAGCTTTAGGCCGGCGTTGTCGGGCAGGACAACAGGATCTGGAGGGCTTCGATTGGAGAAAGGACTGGGGCTTAAGGTTTCTAGAGATGGGAGAGGGATTAGGTTTGATCATGCTAGTAGAGTGAGGGGGGTGGAATTGGGTGCTCGGGAGCTAATGATATACGGTCACTTTACTACAAACAGTAGTGCAGTGTCCATCACGTCTCGGCCACAGGCATTCATGCGACAAGTATCTCGAATGCCTGGTGCGGGTCTAATTAAAAATAAAATAAAAAAATTAGACGCGTGTCTTTAAAAATTATATTTAAATCTAATAAATTATATCAAATTTTATAATAAAATGTTGGAGTTGATGATTATACCAAATAATTTATGTTTAATTTTTTATGTAATATTCCCAAATATTATTGATGCACACTATTTTCCGATTTTATCATTACAACAACAACAACAACAAAGCCTTAATCCCACTACGTGGGGTCGGCTACATGAATCCTTTTTCTCCATTGCGTCCTATTTAGTGTCATATTTTCATTTAGTTCTAGTAAATTAAGATCATTTTTAATACAATAAGCCCAAGTCTTCCTAGGTCTACCTCTGCCTTTCTTAACACAAGTCGAATTTAAAACATCTACTCTCCTAATCGGATCATCTAATGGTCGACGTTTAATATGACCAAACCATCTAAG